TAATGAATACAAGTTCTGTAAGCCTTACCAATCGCAAGCTTTAGGTCAAATGGCCTGTTTTTCTTCTATATAAAATAGGGTTTTTGCCTTTTTTAAATTCCTTTTTGCATTTACATGCTACTGATCTCCTCCAGCCTCTTTCAGCCATTTCTGTCTACATGCACTTGCTCCGGTGTCAGCTCTACATTATTTCCCTGGGACAATTTACTGATAATGACAAACGTGAACCATGCCTGCACAATGTTTGTCAGCACAGCCTATTATCCGGGGTGCAAATAACTGGGGATCATAATCGTTACACAGTTTTCACTCTATAACAGGAAGTGTCTGACCAAAAACCTTCATGGCAGATCACCAGGTATTTTTAGTTAATGAATGCTGCAGATTTAAAAAAAGATTGAAAACAACTGTAAAATGACATTACCATAATAGCTTTTGTTTCAGTCTAATAGTAATTGGGTTTGGATCTACTTGAAGTAAGTTTATTGTGACAGGTAATCTTTAGAACAAAGCCGAGTGATGTATAACTATATCCAAATTGGAGTTGGACATTGAAATAAACCTAAAGCTTTGCCTGAAGCTATAGAGTTCCCCGAATTTCACACACCGATCTATAGAAGATGAAATGATTTATGGGTTGAAGATAAATCCACTGTGGTCCGGAACACTAAAAATGTACAAAATCAAGTTGATTAACATAAGAAAGCACAAGAGTATCAACCCAGCGTCCTGATGAGATATGAGAGCAGAAAATTCCTACAAGAAACTGGTCAATGAACCTGACCCGTATCTCCAAAACTCTTCTAAAATTAATTTTGTGCATTTATCAAACTGACAGCTTTACTCCCGTTACCAGCTCCTCAAAGTGAAGAAATGGCGTACACATCCATAATAATAATTCTGTTGTTTACAGGGGGGATTTATTCTTCTGTATCCAGAGGCTGCAATTTTTATTTGCACTTACATTTTTTTTTTCTGGCAGTAAGATGGTATGCTCTTGATTAATGAAAGTACTATTACAAGTACAAAGGTCAAGTGCACATTGCTGGATAATGTTGTTAAACGGAGGACAGTACTGGGAAACAGAAGACTTGTCATAATTAACAGAAAATGTTGTAATCATAAATCCATGAGCGATCTTGTCAGATGGTTAGAGTAAAGTGTGTCTCTCTCTTTCCAGTTTATATTGCTAAGTACCCACTGGGGAGACTCCCCCCTCTATTTGTACTGGTGACCGTCTGAGAAAGTAAATGAGGGCAAATTTTTTACGTTGACCTCAGAACTCTTGAGGTAAGGGGAAATGTTCTAATGGGCGCAATGCGCTAAAAGGGGAATCTGCCTGTTATTGCGTGGTTTTTAATAATTCCAAGTTGTATCTTTGGGACAGGAAGTAAAAGGGAATTTCCCCAATGGTACACAAAAACCATGCAAATAACCTGAGAGGAGTTACAAGTAACATTTTCCTACTCTATTCAAAACTAATAAAAAAATGTCAGTTAACAATGAATACAATTTTACAAGAGTTTAGCAGCAGGTTGGAGACCTCAAACGACTTTCCAAGTCTGCCGCTACACAATAAGACTCCCTTCATTATGGCTGCAGTAGACCTGTAAACTCTGGTGTAGTGGCTTCACTGCTAAAGTTTTTGAGATAGACCCACCTGCATCTTTCCAACTCTGAAATATCATGCATACTGACTTTTTAAATTACACCTGTCAGCACCCTAAAAGTTCTGCACTGTCCCAACATTGCAGTACAGGCATCCAGCACTGTCTGCACAAAGTTTTGGGCACAGAGGCCTCAAATCCCTAACAGTTCCTAGTGGAGTCAAGCATCATCCTCACCTCTAAACATTGCGTATGGCCAGTAATGTCATCTAGCAATCAGCAGGAAGCACCTGGCTCGTCAGATGTAAATAACTTTACTCATTAAAGCTGAACTCTAGGCAGATACAAAAGACACAAGTTTGTGCAGCAAGAAAAAACAAGTGTCCAGTGTGCTCAGTATATAGAGGGTAAGTATTCCAGTACCGAGAAATAATTCTCAATGTCAGTCTGGTCCACACCATGTAGAATCTGCAGCAATCAAATGGGTAAAGCATTGGTCGATTGAGCAAAGCAGAGGTCTTGCAGTTCTCTTTACACCAACAGGGATAATCAGCATCCTACAAAGCAAAAGAACCTACCAACCTGGTGCGATTAACAGATACACATTTATTAGTTATAATAAACACTTATTGCACTTATAAAAGCTGTTGAAACTGCCTAGAACACAGTCCAAAGAGCATCCACGTTGTGGCCATATGTCAAATTGTCCAGTTGCTACAGTCAGGGCCATGCCACCAATGAGGCTAATTAAGGTGGTACCCATAGAAGCACGAATGGATGGCTGTCCACACCCAACACTCCATCCTCAGTATAGATCAGTAATGCTAAGCCTGATAAAAATGCAGATTTACTGTTACCGAGCTTTCTCGGCAGGCACAGTGAGCACAGGCAAGCACAGCGAGCGAGCCTCTCCAGTCATGCACAGTCTGTATATGGGGTGCACATACAGGCAGGACTACAGCCGCCCAAGGTGGGGGGCATCAGATGTAGCCACTTTGGGTGGCATCCAACCCAAGACTACAGTGGAACAAACCGAAATTACCTTGCTTCAAGATGGTAGTAGCACAATGTCCCTGATCTCTAAGAATTGTGTAAGTGTAAGAATTGCTTTTCTCCCTATATAAGTCAACAGGAAAGCAGAAGAAGTTTAGAAGGAGGTCAGAAGCAAGCTGAATACACCTGGAAGGATGCGGCATTTACTCATCTACACAAGGTTGTACACTACATCTAAGACAGATTGTGGCAATGGCACACAATAGAAAGATGAATACATGGTCATTGTTGCTTATTTTTAATTTCATTATATGAAATCTTGGCATTTACTGTGTAAAATGGCATTTATGATTTAACCTCCACCTAGGAATAAATAAAATGATGCATAATGATGGGATGGCTGTCATGATGTCATACCCCCCTAAAAATCACTGGGCAGTGTGACTGTCACACGTGGCTCTTGTGTTTATTTTTTAGGAGGTCTTACCTGCCAGGGGTGGCCTGTAGCCACCTTTTTTGTCCTAGGTTGACAACACAGCTCTCCCATAGATACAATACAGTGAGTGTCACCGTAGGGCAGGAAGTGTGTTACTCGACAGATCTCAAGGTGAAAATAAATGGCAGGGGAATCATGAAAATAGAAAAAGAAAGAAGCACATACCATCAAAGGACTAGTAAGCTGCTGTTATATTACATATTTGTTCTTGGGTTTAGATACACTTTAAATGCAAGTGGTCCCCACTGGTGTAGTGTGTTATCCACTGCACTCTATAATGTATTTTACATTGCTCATAGTAAAACAGCATGATCCCAGTAAAATCCAGGCAGCATGTATAAAGATTGAGGATTTATGTTACCTTATTCAGTGGCTGGCGAATGCCTTTATGATCCTTTTCATATATGAAACCAAGGTCTGTATTTAGTATCACAGGTCATATGCTAGCTGGAATATTAGCTTAGTACCTTGGCATATATTAACTTGTATCACTGTGCCTCATATCCGGTTATGGATGTTTTATTAGTTCATATACGCTTCTATAGTTTTCCCCGCTGTGCTCATGTACTATTCCATTTTATCAGTACAATAATCTGTACATGATATTCTTTGATACACTGTATTAGTCTTTGGGGAAACTAAAGTACTATTCCTATATAAAGAGTATATCAGCTTTGTAGCGAGCAGTATGGTTACCAGAAATGTAAATCTCGCCTTATTGAAAAGCTGAATGCTGTTTTAAAATAAGAAGATGCTGACATCTCTAAAACAAACAACACTTTTTTTCCTTGCTTGGGAAAAGTAAAATTATACAGATTATGGTGAGAAGGGGCTAAAGCAATCAAAAAAATCACTCCAACCAAATCAGTGCTTAGCATAGTAGAGCTTTCTTAAAGAGGTGGTAAACCGCCAACATAAACATTGGACTAGTTGGTCCCCAGGAGGTGTTTCCCATGATGTACAGCTTATTAACACATTATGGGCAACTTACCTTGCAGGTGATCCCCTCCAGCGATGTGATGTCAGCACACTCCTCCTCCACTGGCGGTTCCATTTTCACCAGGTTCTCTTCTAGGTTTAGCAATCTCGCCCTCTGGGACTTGTTCGGGACCCAACGGGACAGTATATGGAGTAGAGTTTGGGACCCAAAGGAACAGTTTGGAAACTATGGCTTCTTTGGAGTAGAGTTTGGGACCCAACAGGAATGTATGGAAACCATGGCTTCTATGGAGTAGAATGTGAGAGACAACAGGAATGTATGGAAACCATGGCTTCTATGGAGTAGAGTTTGGGACCCAACTGGACAGTATAGAAACTATGGATTCTATGGAGTAGGGTTTGGGACTCAGCTGGACAGAATAACTCTACAGGTTATGGTTGAGAAGGTTTAGCTGTAGTCACCTTCTCACCATAACCTGTATGGTTATACTATCTTGTTGCATCCCAAGCCCCACTCCATAGAAGCCATGCTTTCTATACACTGCAGTGGTGATGGCCAAAATGCTTGAAACAGCTACATGCTGACAGGAGCTGAAATCTCTTTGGATTTGTGTTTGTTCTAGCTCAGTGACTTCTTGCAATCTATAGGGAAACACTTGTCCAGGAGAAGTCATGTTTTAGCAGATATAAGCCCTAACCAAATGACCTTTATAAGGGTTGAATGAAAATTATTGGGCGGGACTGACTCAGTCTGCCAGGAGTCATTAAAACTCGCTTTTAAGTGGGCTGACACTAAAAGATGTGTTAAATACCACTTAGGGCATGCTAAATTGACATACTATAATTTAGTAACCTTGGCTTTCCTTTTGTGCTATCATATCCTGGTGATGAATCAGGAACAATGTCTTGCGCGCATCCAAGCATATATCTGCCTCACATCCTGCATGTCTTTTTTTCTTTTACAGATGTTCAAGTGGATTTGATCGCCACCGGCAAGACTGGGTAGAAAACGGTTGCCCAGAAGAGGTAATGTGAAACAGAAAATGTATTTTATTTTCCAGGTGCAGTCATGTTTAGCATCTTTACACATGTGATGAGTGAAGTGTAGTGCCCCCTGTAGTCTTCCCATCTCCATTACATTAGTGGTCAATGTAGCCCTATCTCTCCATTACATTGGTGGTTAGTGCAGTGGCCCTCCTCTGTTACACTTGTGGTCAATGTTGTCCCCCTTTCTGTTACAATGGTGGCCAGTGTTGTCTGCCACACTCGGTTATATTGGTGGTCAATGTACTCCCCCATTACATTGGTGGTGGTAAATGTAATCTCCCTTCCTACATTACTTTGGTGTCGGTATAGTCCACCTCCATTACTTTGGGGGTTGGTGTAGCCCACTGCCTCCATCATGTTGGTAGTCAGTGCCCCCCCCCCACTCCACACCCCATTGGTGTTCAGTGTAGTGCCCCTTTATATGCTGCTGGTTAATTTAGTGCCCCTTGTAATACTGGTCAATTTAGTTCCCCTTTATATATTGTCGGTCATTTAGTGCCCCTCGTAATTCTGGTCAATTTAGTGCCCCTTTATATACTGTTGGTCATTTAGTGCCCATTGTCACACTGGTCAGAGTAGTGCCCCTTTTTAAATTGGTGGTCAGTGGTTTGGTGCCTCATTGCATCTACAGTCAGTGGGAACTAAACGACTTACCTGACAGATGAAGGATTGTGCCCTGTGCTGCTTGCTCAAGCTCTGCTGAGTGACGTCAACACTTGAACTATGCAGGCATCTTCAAGCAAACAATCGATCCGCCCGAGAGGGACTAAGATGTTCTATGTCAGTGGGGACACCTGGCTTGCACCTCTGCCCCTAGTATGCTACTGATTTACTCTTTTATCTGCTGAAAGATTTCTATTCATATTTGTCCACGCTTCTGATTGACGCACCTCTGCGACATTGCACAGCCATGAAGATCCCTATGCCTCTTCCTGGTTCAGCTGTACTATATCCCCTGGCATCTCCCAGTTCCCTGGACAGAGGTGATGGTGCCAACCCATTCAGGGAGCAGACTAAGGGCAGAGAGGGGACATAGGATATTGAATTACCAAACCAGACTGTTCACAATCATTTTTTTATGTTATTAGTTTATGTTAAACTGTGTATTTAGTTGTTTGCCTGGAGTTCTGCTTAAATAATATAATATGATATAATATAATATATAATTAGATCAATAAGAACATAAAATATATTGACTATATTGCACTATTTCAACAGTGTAAAAACATTTTTTAGGGAAGGGAAGGGGAAAGGGAAAATCTTTTTTTAGTGAAGGGAAGGGGAAAGGGAAAATCTATAAGAGACACAAATGAATACAGCTTTGTAATACATGTAATGGTAATACACCATTACCATTACATGTATTATTAAATGCAAGCAGTTTAACTACTTGAAGTTGACCTGGTATCAGCCGCTTGCAGCCCCGGTACAGCAGAACTGGACTGTGAAAAGAAGATAATCAGTTCATGTGCTGACAAGAAGCATGCTGATACGAGCAGAAAGCAGAGTGGCTAGCAGATGAGCTCATCCTACTGCTGCTTCTCCTTTTGCTGTTCATTCACAGGCAGGGGCAGAGTCCAGCATGACCTGGCATTAGAGGAGGTGGGTTGAATGATGCTGGCCATGAGACTGAGTGGCATCTAGTGGCAGAAAAGAAGAATTGCAGGGAAAATCTGTGGATTGAACCTGAATATTGCAGCAAAAGCTGAAGTGGTTATTTTACAGTATATTTTTTATAGGCTATTATTGTTATTTTTGGTTGGAGTTCTGCTTTAAAGTGACCCTGTCGTAAAATTAAAAATAAAAACATATTACCCTGTTAAGAAGAGGTGATGTAGTTTACATAGAAGTGGCACTCGTAACAATTACAGTGTTTCAAGCAGGTAGCATTGACAGACAGAAGCGTGGCACCACACCTGTGTTGAATGAATTACGACAAATAAACAGTTTGGGGCTTTTGAGGTGCCAAAGACTTACTGTAAACTCATGTCTAAAAATACATCTTTATTGGTATAATTACATGTTAAAAGATATTTCCTCCCTAAAATCAAACAATGCATATATCCATCTTATTATAACTTTGTTGTGGTCCAGCATAATACAGGGAATGCATATGAAAAAAAGTGCATGAATATCATAAGTCCTCTAATCTGCTTCCCCCCTTCCCATTCCTTAACTCCGGTGATTTGTGGGTGCTGGATGACCTAATATCCATGAACTATCAGGTATGTGGTTTAACTAAAAATAAACTGAATTTGTTTTGAAAAATGGTAACATGCATATGTTTTGTTGAATTGTACACTGTGTATATGTCCAATTTGTGGATTTATAGGACTCTTGAAGAAGCAATACTGCGAAACGCATCATCTGTACATTTAAGTATATTACTTATGATATTTATGCACTTTTTTGCATATGTATTCCCTGTATTGGGCTGGACCACAACTAAATTGCAATAAGATGGATATATGCATTGTTTGATTTTAAAGAGGAAATATCTTGACTGATGGATTCGTCAATTTTTGTCCCTTTGTTCAAAACCCCAATAAACACTCGTACTGTGTGACATGGATTTTAACGGCCACAGCAGCCCTTTTATTAAACCAAACAACTTTATCAATAACCAAAAGTAATAAATCAAATAATATATACAAATAATACTGTAAATGATGGTTGACCTGAGAAGGGGTCTTTGGGTGCCCAACAGCCCAAAAAGGCCTCTCCTACCACTCCACCCATGTCCCCAGCCCCACCACAACCAGCTCGAGGACACTTATCCGGACACCAACAAATCCGGACACCAACAGGGGGAGCCACCCATACCAGCTGAGGGCCCCCCATTTTTGTAATCAACTCTGATTTTGTAGACCCCCCAAAGACCCCCTAACCCGCCAAGCTGCCGTGACAAAAGAACCCCCCAACCCCCATTATCACAACATTAAGGAAGGGAGGGTGGGACAACCTGCTTCCTTCGTCGATTTCCAGAAAGAGGATGTCCCTCAGGCCTCGCAGTTCCTTCCCATGCGGCTCCTCCCGGACACCTGACTTCCACGTCCAATCAGGTAAGAGCAGCTATTCCCATTTTCTTTTAACTATTTCTCCCGGGACTATTCCTCCCCCTACATGTAGCCCCTCCACTCAGTCTCTCCGGGTCTGTCTTTTAACATGTATTTATACCAATTAGGGATGCACCGATACCAAGTACCGTACTCGGTTCAAGTGCAAGTACAGATACTTTCGAGCTCCAAGACTAGAATAGAGAAAAATTCAAAAGTTAGGAGGCCGCTGTCATTTGTAAGTAGAACACGGAGCTCCTGGGATTTGTACATCTCTGTTTTAATGTATGATTTTGTTTTTATAAACATATACTGTATAAGGGATGCACAGATACCATTTTTGCAAGTACAAGTACTGATACATTTTTGTTTATTGTCATGTGACAGTTTTTCTAAAACAATACAGACTAATGATTTCAGGACAGTGGTGGATGGCCAGAGCTAGGTCCCAGCTGCAAACGTTGCAACCCTGGTAGGTCTCATGAAAATGCCAAGTATCGGCACTGGTATCTGAACTGGTATCTGGACATCCCTAATAGCAATAAAGATGTATTTTTAGACATGAGTTTACAGTAAGTCTTTGGCACCTTAAAAGCCCCAAACTGTTCTTATTTGTTGTAATACATAGAAGTGGTGCGTTGTTACTGCCTTGTTCCAATAAATATATCATTATGAAAACAGTCGCCTTTACAAGGATACAACGACCAAGACACATTCTTCCAAAATCGGTCATTTTTCAGCAACTTGTCCCTTTAAACACCTTTGCATGCAATGCATTGTTTCCTGAAATCGATGGACATTTAATTCTTGTTTTGACGTAGATATAAAACAGGGCAGAGTTCTGTCTGAGAGCTAATTAAAGATTTGTTGCCTCTTGCTAACTGGTTGTTAGCGAACGCTGAAGTGCATCATTTGTATTCCAAGCCCGCTGCTTACGGTTTTTGTACTTTCTCCAGACTAAAAGCGTTCACGTATGACCCATTGCTCTGTACGGGAGGCTCAAAGTGAATACTTCAAACTCTTCACCGCTAATGGCATCATAATGGAAGTACAGTTCAGGGAGAGATAATGTAACTTTTAACCCTGCATAATGCCGCATAATAGCATTGAACATCCATAACACGCATAACTTAATTTAGTTCTTCTTAACAATTTGAACTAATCTGAACTCCAGGCACAAAAATTTCCATTTAAGTAAATTCCTCATTAGCCACAAAGAATATGAATCCACTTTGTGTGCACCAAATGCCTTTACAGAAGGTGGATACTACCTTGCACAGGTAGCAGTGACATCATCACTGTGCTGTACCTTGCCCGTGCAGAGAGCAGAGCTGTGGGAGGGACCCAGCAGTCCCCACCCACAATAGGCTGCCTGCTGAAAACTACTGGCGGGGGCGGAGAGAAGACCAGTCACCCTGCACAAGAAGAGAGCAGCAGTGAGCGGTCTTTATTACAGGAACCTCCAAGTGTTACACTGGATTACTGCACAGATCTGGAAGAAATACACACAGCTCACCAAGATTAATATAAGGATACACATGACTCTTGTAGGAGGACAATATTTCCTTATCACGGAGTTCAGCTTTAAGTTAAAGATAGCATTTGTTTTCTATGTCACTGTATATGTTTGTTTTTCTTTGTACAGGTAAACGCCAAAATGGTTCATCCCAGCCCTGTTTAGTTAAGCCCAACTTAATTTTGCAACAAATTTACCAATTCTTCAAAAATTTGCAGAAATAACAGGCTACTGAAGTTCAAATTTTCTTTTGCTTTATAACAAAGTCATGTGATCTCCATGTCAGCGCTAACATGGTGGTCACATAGGTTTGTTGCTAAATTAACTCATGCCAGTGACATATGACAACGTTAAAAGTTTGAAACTTTAAAAAACAAATTAGAGGCACTTCTGTGGGGCTCATTCAGACAGGCGTGCATGTCGGAACAGCGTGCACGCCGTGAAATAAGCTGATCCCAGAAGGGACAGGTGCTACGCGTAATTGGGCACAGCAGCCTGTTCATTCCCATAGGAGGACATAGCTGCATGCAATTACACATGGTCACATCCGTGCGGGTCCTGGTGCCCGCACTTGGGTGCAGACGGTGTGACGGCATACTGTGAATATGCAGTATGTAAAGTGCTGCATCAATTGTTGTTGTCATATAAATAACAAAATAAATACATATATAAGAAGAAACTGCAAAAAGGCAGACATGTCCCCTCAAGTATGATACAACCTTCTATGAAAACTAATTTGTTATCTCCATAAGTAAATCTGACATCTGTTCAATTAATTTTACTTATTTTAGTTTTATATATATTTTTTAATAACAGGTCTTTTTTTAATTTCATAATTCTTTTTTTTCCTTTCATTAGTCAAAAGATAAAGTATGTGAAGACTTCTTCCCCACCACCCAAATACCACATCACACCACTTCTAAAATTCATGGCACCACCTACAGACATTTTACTACAACTGCTAAACTAGCGACGTCACATCTGCCAAGCAGCCTCCCAACAGAAGGTGAGTTGGCGAATGTTTTCCTTGGCGTAATGATGCCCACAGAGGGTCATGTACTGTAGGTCAGTGTTAACAAGCATCAATAGCTAAAACCTTTTATATTTTTGGATAGAGAAGGGAATGAACGTTTAAAACCATTGTCAGTTTCTCAATGCAGAGATTTTCCTTCCACTAGATGGAGGTGAGGAGCATAGGAGATCACGATTTGTTTTCTATGCTTCTCAGCTCCACGTAGTGGCCATAATGTGTTTTTTGTCATTAAAGTTACATTTGAGCTGAAATGAAAATATGACACCATTGGAGGGGTGACACCAAAATGACTGACAGTGATTTTAGTGTCACCCCCTCTTAAAAGTCAGGCACTCGGTCATGGACCGAGAGCCTGACAGTTGCTCCAGAGAGGAGAGGACCCGGCAGCATCTCTTATCCCGCCGGGTGAATGTCCCCTTCTCTCTCTGCCAGCATCCATTACCAAGATGGTCGCCAGCAGGTAACAGCGTGTGACATCATCACGCGTGTGCGCGATTACCTCACGTGCGTGCGCAATGGCGTCACTGCGTGGTGTCACCTGGTACCCGCTCCAGGTGACACCCTGCCTTGGGACGCCTCTGCCCAGTGGCCCTGAGTTGCGTTTGCTGTGGGGATGTTTAATCCATCTTTATGACCCTCTTTGCGCGGCCCAGAGGGGGGCGTAAAATCGCACCATCATCATGTGACATTTAGGCCCCACTCAGACCAAATCCACTAGCATCCAATTTTCAACGGATGCCAATGGAAGGTAACCCGAAAAATTAATGGGACCAGTTCACACTGCTGCATTGCATTGCGCTGCAGTCCACTAGAAAAAAAAAAGTAGAGCATGCTCTACATCAAAAACGAATGCAACAGACTAGAACGCAACGGAAGTCAACGGAGGTTGAAATTGCAAGTCAACTGACCACCGTTGACTTACGTTTTTTTGGTCCGATTTTGGTGTAAACGGGTCCTTAGAGAGTCGGCACTATCATGCTGTTTCCTAGACTATGGCGCTGTTATGGTTCATTCTCTACCTCAAACTGCCGTGCATGTCTTATTTTGTCTTTAAATTATGAATATGCCATACAACAAAGTATAAAAGCAGGCAGAGCATTGATAGGATTATGCTTTTATAGCAAATGCAAACATTCTCTTTGCGGCTGATAGATCTCTTTCAATAAGCATTGGCAATGAAAGAACGATGTGGAAGAGAGGTTAGCAGCGCTGTAAATAAAACGAATACACCATGCACAGTACTGAAGGAAATATAGCGCATATAAACTGTGCGCTGTGACGGATAGTACAATAAACAGCTTTCTTTTCTTTTCTTTTTTTAAAGTTCTGACCTTTGGAATGTTTTAAGAAACTGTTTGGGAATTTAAAAAAAAAGAAACCCTATTCATTCTTGTTATTTATTGCTGTGTCAAATATATGTCACCACTTCTAAATAATGTGCTTTATTTTTCCTATTATAAATTATTACAGAAGGTGTGCTTTAAAAAAAAAAATAACATACCAATTTCTAAACATCCCCCATACACCATATCTGCAGAACCCTTCTAATATCTGCCTTATGGTTGTTACCATGCTGTAAGTACATTTGCTAAGCACATGCATAAAGTACACCAAAGAGCAGGGTAACCCTACCACTGCTTAGCAGTCACTGTCTGATGGCAAACCTGACCTTAAAGGGTGTTTAAGGTCATAAATATGTATTTCTGCATATAATTTCTATAAGTTCTATTCTACTCCTAATAACCATATACATCTAGAAGTTTGTAAACTTAATTATTGAAGATGCCCATAGGATGTACTTCCTCAATGCACTGACACAATTTCAGTCCTGTGAATGTGCACTGCCTTGTGTCACCACTACAACTCAACGTCTGAACAATGTAACATTATCATTGCTTGCTGGAAGCAGTGCATGATGGAATGTGCAGTCTTATTTTATTTTTTGCACTAATAAAACAGATATAACACAACAATTTATGTGCTATATTTACCAGACCAAAAAATTAAAGTTCTTTGTTGGGGTTTGCATTCACTTTACAGTTACTGACGGTATCTGATTTTACTTTGTATTGTGTTTTTTCATAACAAATTGCTGTCATGTTTCTTTTTCCAGATGATACAAAGATTGCGCTGCACCTCAAAGACAATGGAGGTAAGGCTTGAGTACTGATGATGTTCTAAGAGTGACCAAGGTGGGGGTGACTTCTCTAGTCCCACAGCATTGCTTTACTAAGTGAGACTTTTGGATATTATCCCTGTGCAGGGTGAGCCTTTTCATGACCTCTGCATATGATGTGGATCACAAACAGTCATCACATGCACATGCAAGGCTTGCAGAGGCTTATGGATCCCTGCTGCATCATAGACATTTCCCATATTTGTAGGCCTGGTGATAGATTCATCATCTGAGGAAATATTTGATCAGATTCACTGCAAATGTGCTGATTATTGGTTAGTGTTACTCTTTGAAGAGCATATGCATACCTGGACACTTCACTCCATATAACCAAACTGCAAAATACTGAATAATTCTGTGCCGTAGTCAATTTTGTTGTCTTGTTCACTGAAAAGGTTATCAAGTAAAACCGTAGCAGAGAAAAATGGAAATATCGATCAGGGCTATCAGGTTCCAAGTTCACAAGTTCACTGCCATTTATCGAACTGTCCCAGCCTGCTGCAATCTTCCTGCCAATCCCACTGACATATGTATGCGGCTCACGTGAAATGAAAGGCTCCTGTTTTCACCATAGAAAAGGGAAAGATTGTGTGTGGTCACACTGCGGTTTTCAAATATGTACTATGTCTTCTTAAGGTTGAACTGCAGGCAGATATAAAAGACACAAATTAATTCAGTTTGGAATTGATTAATACATCCTTAAAGAAGGAATTTAAAGAACTTACCCTTGCAGTGGGGCTACTGCCTGTGTTGCAAGGGTTAAGTGCTTGTTTTGTCTAAAGATGACCATACAACTTACAATTATCGTTCAATTTCTTTCATCCGGTCATTGAACCATCGTTCAATTTCCGCTCGAGTACCTTGTCATGCACAGACCAATGTAGATTTCGATAATCATTCGTTAGCAATACTAACTTGCCGAATTTCATTGATCGACTTAATGGATTTTCATTTGCGCATGTGCAGCGCTCATGTTGCAATTTTTTCCGTACGAAAACGCCACTAATCCATCTCATTTTGTACGATTCAAAAAACGTTTTCCAGCCTGACCAATCGAGGAAATTCGCCCAGTTGTACAGTAATTATGATCGTTCACTTCCCATCAACTGGCCTATTATGTTATGAAAACATGATCGCGTTTGTTTTTCAAACAATAATCGCAAGGTGTATGGGCACCTTAAGGCAGGGGGTGGCAACTCCGGCCCTTCAGCTGTTGTGGAACGACAAGTCCCATGAGGCATTGAAAGACTCGGACAGCCACAGGCATGACTCCTAGAGCTCGAGGGCTGGAGTTGCCCACCCCTGGTGTAGGGGGTTCAAATAAAGCAGATATACTCACCTGTTTCTCAGTCTCACCGGACTGCTAGACCAGTCCCTGCAGCCTCTACTTTCCTTGGCTCCAAGGACTGCTGATGTCATTGTGTCTAATGCAGGTCCATTGACTTGCATTGGACACGAGGATGCCGAGGATGTCAAAAATGAGGTAGAGAGAAACAGCACAATGAGCCAATCAGTTGTGCTGCAGTGCACAATGTATGACAGGAGGAGAGAGAAGACTGATGGTGAAATGAGTACTCCAGTCTTCTGCTTCTCTTTTCACTGTCCACTCACAGGCTGGGGCAGGGAGGGGACCTGCAAGTGCTATTTCCACTGCCAGACATTAGAGATCTCTGTAAATATCTAAAATGAATGGAAACATTATAAACTATTTCAGTAGAGATTAAGAAACTGAGAGACAGCCCGGATCTGGTTGGCTCCCAAAGATCTTCAAATATCAGCCATTGGCATAGCGATTGGTCACTCATTAACATTCTTATGCTATGCCTCTTATGTGTTGATATAAAACCCCATATGTCCATATAAACCAAGCCAGTAGTTCAAACAAGAGGGGTCAAGAGAAAAAAGTACCCCCTCTTTCAAAGCACTTCGCCCATGCTGGAGGACACTAAGCTCCTTTCATTCCTTAGGAGGGAGGTTGCAGAAGCATGGGGAGAGGCCATGTACATTTTACCTTCTCCAGAGATGCACCATTCAGGGCAAAGTGGCAATGTCTTTGCAAAGGGCACCTGCCACCCATTGATACTATCCTTGCCAGCAGTCCACCACTGCTTCTTGATCATCAATAATAACTGGAGCTTATGGGTATAGTTAAGCAGTGCAGTGCTTGGGTCTAGCAGCCAATACTAGGCCCAAATATTGTCACATGACGGATGGAGTGATGCACCATATCCCCTTTTCACCAGCCGACACTGGGGATTTTAGTTCTGGTTAAAACTGAGGAAGGAGGGTAGGGGGACTTTATTCATGGGAAACCTTGTAACACACTATTGGGCTAATCTACAAAAGGTTAAAGTAGAACTAAAACCAAAATGTTTTTCGTTTGGAATATATTGGAAAGGGATTAGAATACCTTTTAGATTTGTATTGGTCTCTGTCTCTTAGTTAGGAAGATTCAACTTCTCGATTTGCCCTTGCGACCATTATCACCAAGAGTGAAAGAGAAAGAAAATCCCAAAGTTTGAGTTGTCACCAGAAAAGGAATAGAGGGGAAATCTTCCTATGGGGGCACCAGTTCTGGGTTGGTATCTGGTTACTAAGGGAAAATAGGTAAAACTGTAAACTAGTAGATTTGAATTGAGCAAGCAGGAGAACATTGGCCAGATTTCCATAGTAAGTATTTAGAGGTTTGCTCATCTCTGTTACATCACTTGTAAGTAATGGCTAGCGTATGTAGGGTTGTCACCTGTCCAGGATTCACCGGATTTTGAATGCTGTGTCCATGTTTCATGGCAGCTGAAACCCAGACACATGATATCAGGCAGACAGGGGCAACCAAAATTAAGATGCAGCTTCTGGCCCCCCACTAAAAATAGTCTTGACTGTGATTTTTACATATGAATCAGGGGCGCTATTTACATATGAATAAGCCGTGACTCATTCTCCCCAAAAAATGTCTGCACGTCACTAGAGTGTTCGGATTGCGCTGGAAGAAAAGGTGGCAACCCTAAGCATATGGCCAACTATATGAGGGCAAAATCATGATTGGTTGATATGGTCATCAGTCATGTTTTCTCTATCTATTATGTTCTTTGCACAAGAGACAGGTATAGAGGTCACCAGAGGTGTGAGAAAACAAAACCATTTGACAGATATTTCTTTTTAAGGCATAGATTCAGATTTATTCCTGCCATGAAGGAGTGTCCCTCCTGTAGAGGCCTCTACAGCTAAACTGTTTTTACCCCCCATGCGTCCTCAGTCTGTGAGTAGACCAGCATATCTGCCCTTTAAATTATTCAACATAACTGATCAGTGTCAGAAAACAAAGAAGAGAAATCAATAAAATAAGCAAAAGATCTGCTAAGATCTGACTTTCTTTCATGCGAGAGAACATGATTTATGAGAACAGTTAGCGTGACTCAACTGTATCAAGACTTTAGCTCATTATGGATTCACATCCCGAGGGCAGATTACTTATATTTGATACAAAACGAAGGCTTTAAAGCCGCATGGAGCCAAATCAGTAAACAGGTTTCCCATTTGTGTTTTAAAACATACCTTCAAATCAGAGAACTGGCTCTTCAAAAAGACTTCAATTATTCATTGCATTTGGTGCCAGCGAAAGATTTTTAATAAGATAAAATTCATGTTTGCTGGGAGCACAACTTCAATGCAATCTGTAAACCTTGCAGGCATCTTTAATAGTTGCGAACGTGATGAATGCCGAGTCGTTAATCCCTTCAAGGCCAGATTTTGTAAAAGTGCAATCAGGAGGACCTGTTTTGGAGCAGGAAGGAATGTGATTAATCAATAAGAGCCCGTGGAGAGCTCCTTGAAAAATATTTGGCATTTTGGGCTTTGTTGTGCTGTGCTTGAGCTTTGTCCATGTGGTGACCATTTTGTAATCATCTTAAAACAACCGGTTCTAATTAGGCTCTTTCAAGATTTCTAAAAATGAAATGTCTCCAATTGTTAGTGCCTGCTTCTGGACACCAACTTTCTCATAAATACAGTATACTAATAAGATAATACATTCATGTATATATCATTTATTAATGATACCTGCACTGGATCCTATAGCTGTGCTCAGAGGGAATTGTTTAAAACATGTGCATGTTGACATAGGGAACAGAAGAGCCAGATTTGTTCACCGAAATGCAGCTGTGCTTTTAGGATGATGTCCTATGCCAAAGATGATGTAACACCATGGGAAAGGTGGGCTCAGCTGGTGCTCCTGTTCTGGAATTGTTATATTTCCCGATAGCTAGCAGAAGCACATTAGAATAAACCTGTGTGTGATGAAGGGTTCCTGTGAAGTCCCAAAATGTTCTTTTTCTACGTGATCATGCAATGATTATGAGATTTGCACTTTAAAATTACTTGTTAGTGTGCTGATGGCAGATCTAGTTCATGTTATACCCTGTGAGCAGCTGGGTGCTTTTGCAGCACTCTTTAAACCATATGGTTGATTGCAGTATGATGTACGCAAGGAAAATACTCCATGACTGTCCTGAAAAAAGCATGCAGATCAGGCAAGTTAGAAGTTCATATTTTGGGGCTTGCTCCAGGGCAGTGTTTCAAAGTACAGAAGCAAAGGAGGCAGCCTGGCAAGTATTAGTATTTTCATAAGGAGAGCTCAGCAATGGCAGTCTCCTTGTTTCTTTCATAACAGGTTTTCTTTTTATAGCCATAACAACTTTCTTTTTTAGTTTTGGATAGACTAGGCAAGCATTATATTCATCAGTTGATGTTTGTGCTGCCTGTTTCCCTTTAGGAAGATCTTCCATTACTTTCTTTTCCAGATAAAAACAGGAAACCTCTACAATGTGAGGGGAAATTATATCTTGGACCGTTGTCATCAGGTGTCCCCATTGAAAGATTTTCCCTTACCTCTTCTTTTGTGATTCTAGAATTTTGCAGGGTTATTCACAATAGGGTGAAGAGTTTGGAGAGGGCCGGAGAAGTGAACAATCTAGGAC